GGGTTTAGGCTTTAGGGTGTAGATTTAGGGGTTCAGGGTTTAGGGTTTGGGGCTTAGGGTTTGTTAGACTGCTGTCGTCTGGCTTACGGCTTACATAGGGGCTTAAGCTCTTTTTCTGGGTTTCGGCGTAAAAAGTTGAAAGATTTCTACGGCTTTCGGGCATTCAAGGCTTTTAGGATTTTATTCTCAGGTCGAGGATTTTTAGGCACCCTAAACCCTAAACCCTAAACCCTAAACCGTGCGGGCTTTGAGCTCAGGAAGCTCAGGAGTTCCGGGTTTGGGTTCGGTTCGGGGATATGCGGTTAGTGTAGGGGCCGGAATAATTAGAATAGGGTTGCGCGGGTTCCTTTAAAAGGGTTCCTTAAAGGGTTCGATAAGCGGTACTATAAGGGTTTAGGGTTTAGGGGCCTGAATAATAGGAATAGGGTTTTGGGGGTATATTCTACAATAATTATAGTAAGGAGCCCCCAAAACAACATAGGTAATTACTTATCAAGGCCCCTGCATTAGCTGCTTGTTTCGGAAACCCACCAAGCCCCAAAACCGGAATTTAGAGCCCTAAGCGGAGGACATGCCAGCTCGGAAAACCTTAAGCCCTACTACGACACTACACTAAAAATCCCGAAGCCCACAGCCCTACTTGGAGGTTCATGGATAATTAGACGTGGGGTTAGAAGTCCCCTAATATGGGCTGCAACTATAGTTACCGTACTTGCAAACTCACTTATAACTACCCATGAACCTCTACGTAGAGACTTTCTACAGCCAAAACGGAACTCTTATAGATCCCTTAACGGAGCTGAGTAGTCCGGTATACCAAGTCCCTCTGTTCTGCCGAGGTTCCACCCCGGCATCCTCGGTTTGCCGGCAAAGCTCAAAGAGCTCGGCCTCTGCCTTCAAAACCTCCGAGGGAAACGAATAGTGTAGGGGCCTCAATAATTAGAATTAGGCTTTGGGGCCCACTATACTATAGTTATAACAAGGAACCCCCAAAATACTATAGGTAAGTATTGAGGCCCCCTATATTACTTAGAAGCAAGGATTAGGGCTTAGAGTATCGGGTTGAGGGATACCCCCAGGCACTTTCATGTTCAGGGGTAAGACTTTGCTGAGTTTTCTGTCATCTGGTTTCATGTGACATGGGAGTTTAGTTTCAGGGCTCTCAAAATCGTAGGATCCTGATATACAACGAAGATTTCGAAAACAGCTCCCCCCTTTTCTTCTTCTAAGCATAGTCTACATGATGAGCACCTCAAGGATTCAGCTCTTGGGTCTGTATGCATCTTTTCCGACTGAGTTAACTCATGCCTTATGCTGGAAATGTCGGAGCAGCTGGGGAAGCACCAAAGGTCCAGATACCTAACAGGCATATACTTTCCCGATTTATAACCTAAAAGACTCCTGTCCTAAACAGAATAATATGCCAAAAGACTGCTATCTCAACCACAATACAACCCAACAGACTACCATCCTAAATAGAATACGAATCTAACAGACTACTATCCTAAACCTTCCTAAGCCACACTCAGTACCTAATTAGATCCGTTGGACCCTCCGGGGAGACACCCACTCCCTAGACCCTAACCAAAGACACCCGCCTGCTCCTAGACCCTAAACCCTAAATCTAAATCCTGAACCCTAAACCCTAAATCCTAAATCCTAAACCCTAAATCCTAAACACTAAGCCCTAAATCCTAACCAGAGACACCCGCCTGCTCGCTGGAGTCCGTCTCCGCGTCGCACATGTCGCGGCCCAGAGTGTAGAGTCTAGCAGACAGATCCTGGGTTTAACGACAGGAAGTTAGTTGACTTAGTTGCTGAGTACATAAGCCGCAAAAAGTGTACACTTTCAGTTTTATGGTGGGTAATATTATCCCAAAAAGTGTAAAGTGTGTCCACTCAGCTACTAAGTTGAAGTTACCATCATAGGGATCTTAATTTAATTTAAGCTACCATACTGGGGAACAAAAGTGAATTCTAGGGTCCCTAAACCCTAATTCCCTAAACCCTAAACCCTATATGTTTCCTTATTCTGGTAACTTAAAACCCTAAGCCCTAGATTCGCCCTAGATCCCTTAAAAGAGCCCAGGATCTGCCACCTGTGCCGCAGCAGTCGCCGAGCGCCCTTGCAGCGCCGAGAGCTCCAGTCGGTTGGGTTTCTGCTTTGTTTGTGCTGCACGGAAACCTTTGGGTTTTGAGGGATCTTTTCGGGCTAATTTAGGGTTTAGGTTTAGGGTTTATGGTTTAGGGTTTTAGGGTCCTTTTTTAAGTGTTTATGAGTAGGTAGCTCTATAGGAAGCATAAGGAAATCAAAAGCTTCCCAAAGCGCCACCCAGAAACCTGCCGCTGCCGCCTGCACGGCTTCCCGTTCCTTCACGCCCCTGCCAGCTTGCAAGGACGCCCGTAGCTCCGCCACTAAGGCTTCCAGGATCTGAGAAGGCACCTCTTCCCTGCCAACCGCTTGCAGCTGGGCTTTGTCCAACAAACTCTGGACCTAGGATGCACAGTAACCTAGGATCAACAAGGGCTCCCTTTTCGGGTATTGAGTATAACTTTATAAGGAACCTACGACTTCAAAAAAGGAAAAAGGGCCCACTGGGAGACCCAGGGACAGAGTCCGGAAGGTCTGGCGGCAAAGACGCGCAGAGGATTTCCACAACCTGACCAGCTCTGCGGACTTCTGCTTCAAAGCTCGGCTCCAGTGCACGAAGGGAAGTCATCGCAGACCTCAAAGCACCTCCGAAGTGTTTCAAAGTGAACCGAAACACGAAGTACACCTCCATGGGCTATATCGAAATATCAGCAGAAGGCAACCAAACCCGCTACTACATGTCAGGGTCTTTGGTATACAAACATCCAATGTGTCCAAGTACCAGCATGGAAGGTTGTTAGTAGGTACCACCGGACACCGATACTGATACTTGGACACCCAACCTTAATCCCCTAAACCTCAAAACCTAAACCCTACAACCCTAAAAAAACCTACGACCCTAAAACCCTGAACCCTACAACCCTAAAAACTCTAAAACCCGAAACTCTAACAACCATAAGCTCTAAACCCTAAAACCCGAAACCCTAACTCTTGGGGTTTAGGGTTTAGGGTTTAGGGGGGAAAGCCCACCTCGAGAAGCTTGGAGCTCTGTTTTCAGCTCCCGACCCCGCGCATGGACTTGGGAATGGTCCGGGCTGCGAACCGCACCTGAGCAGCTCAAATAAGACTTCTGGGTTTAGGGTTCAGGATTTAGGGCTTAAGGTTTTTATGGTCCGGGCTGCGAACTGCGCCTTTTCTCGGCTCAAATAAGATTTCTGGGTTTGGGCTTTGGGGTTTAGGGTTTAGGGTGTAGGGTTTTTGGGGTTTTGGGCTTTAGGGTTTAGGGTTTTTGGGGTTTGGGGCTTTAGGGCTTAAGGCTTTTAGGGCTTTAGGGCTTTAGGGTTGAAGGATTGTAGGGTCTTCAATAGGGTGTAGGGTAGGCGCTTTTAGTTATGGCCGTTACGGCGAAAGGCGGATCCCTTCGCAAACCTTCAGACCTCTGCTACGATATGCGGCTGACATCTAATGCAGGTGGGTAGTTCTCTAAATTAGGGTCCCCTTTTAGGTCCCCAGTAAAGTACAGCAAGCTTATAAAAGGACCCCCAACACGTCCCCCGTCTGCCGCCAGTGGTTGACAAACTCCACAGACCCCAGAAGCCACAAGTCCCAAATTCACAAGAGTGAGACCTGATGTAGGGGCCGTAACGATTAGACTAGGGTTTTGGAGGGGGCTACAGTATATTTTAATCACAATAAGGAACCCCAAAATACTATAGGTAATAATGTAGGCCACAAAATTCCCGCCTAGAAACTGATAGTCGGGGTCCCTATGCCGAAGAATGGCCTTAGTTCCGCGCCAAGCCTTCGTGACTTGAGTCCCAAGTCCATCAACTTGATCTTAAACCACAAAAAACCGATTAAACCCCATGAACCCTAAACCCTAAACTTAAACTTCTAAACCCTAAACCCTGAACCTTAAATCCCTGAACCTCCCTCAAACCGAAACCTGACACCCTGATCGTCTCAACCCAGAGCTTTCAAAATCTCAACCCCTGAGCCGTAAACCTATACACCCCGCCCGGTATAGTGCCCTGAAAGGACGGTTTAGGGTCTAGGGTTTAGGGGAACCCCTACAGGAACCAGGAAACCTTTACAGACGAAGGCGCTGTCTCCAGGCGGAAAATGCGGTAGGTCCATGCAGAGCGCATCGAAGTTCAAGCCATCTATGGCCTGGGACCTTCTTTGGTGGAGGGTTTAGGGGTTTCGGGTAGGCCCCAAAACCTAAACCCTAAAGGGTTCATGGAGGCTGTTGTAGGTTGGGATATTTGGGGGTAGGGGTCTAGAGGCTTGGGGTTTAGGATTCCAGGTGATCGGGTTTTGGGTTTAGGGTTTGAGT